CACCTGCTGAGAAAAAGTGCACACCTTTAGATTCCTGGGCCAGTATCTCAGTTTTTCCTTTTCTCACTGTACCACATACAGCATGATTCTTAAAAATATGTTTACTGGTGTTTTACACATTGGCAGTGGTGATGTATCAGACTAGCTGGGCACTGCATTTGCAGCAGCACTCGGAAAAGCATCTCTGGCTCCTTGCAATCTCCTATCTGTAAATGTCACTTAATTGTCTAAGAAAAATTTGGCTGACCTTTCAATTACTGGTAACAGAATAAAAGCAATAAAAGACTACGCGACAGCAAGTGTCACTAATACCCATTTGTAGCCTTCTTGTGCTGATTGGGAGTGCTGGGGAGAATTCACACTCTGCTCCAGGGCTGCATTTTTGGCACGGCGCTGGTAAAGGAACTTGCTGGTAAAAGGCCAGGAACTAGGGAAAGAAAGGAATTGTCTCCCTTCCCTCCCTGTCCCGACTCCATAAACAAACCAGAAAGACCATTTCTGAATATCTGGCAAAAAAGGCCCTATATTCTGAGGGCTTTTGTGGAGCTTCAGAGTCTGTAATATCTGCTTTCAGGGGTAAAGATTGCTCTCACCCAACTGCTTTCGACCATCTGTCAGACCTACTGAGATAGTTGAGACTATGTGCAGATAAAGGACGAGGTATATGGGCAAATCCTCCCTACCATGCAGAAAAAAGGCCAGTACGGAGTTTACACACTGTTCACTGCCTTTGTGAGGCCTTCATTCAAGCAGAGTCTATCTCATGGCTCTTCCACTGAACTCAACTGCAGCTCAGTCACTGTTTTTTTGCCTGTTGTGTTTGGTACTGGATAAGAAAGACACTTGAACGGATGTTATAGTACAGCAATCTCAAATAAGAAATCCACAGTTTGTAAATTAGCTGTTAGCAGCTCTCACAAACACTTCTCAAGTCCTCCTCCAGTAGCAGAAATAGCTGCTCACTCTCTAAGCTGTCAGGCTGTTGATTAAGATCAGAAAGGCTTAGTTGGCAAACTCCTAGTGCTGGTGCCTGACTCATGATTAAGGGCTCTGTCTCAGTTCCCTTCGAGCAGGAAAAGGACAGCAAATACTGATTAAGTTTTTCACTTCCTTCCCAGTCACAGCTTGGATCCCTGAAAAAGGGAGACCTTCTTGGCAGAGATCATTGTTGCTAAGACCACTTCTTATCTTGTGTCTTCCACAAAAATGGTTATTTATATATCGGGTGTCCTTCCCATTGTGGAAATTTGGAATCTATATGATACTTTCAAAACCTCTTCTGGTGGGGTCAAGCCCTGATAGCCTTTTTTCAATATGTACACTGAAATGAGTTAAAAATAATTATTACATGCAGAAACTTACACTGTCAGATTCCTCTAAATTCAGTGATCTGACCATAGCAGTCAGTTCCAAATTATCCAGCAGAGCTAGGATATTACCAGCTGCTGTAGGAAGATGTTCTCCTAGATCCTTCACCTTCAAAATAAGCCTGTGATTATTGCTAGAGCTGTTCACAGCTTTGTGGATACTCTCAAATGAGACCTTTCTTTGTGTATTCTTCACTCTTACAGGCTAACCTGTGCATTAATTAACTTGTTCAGGCAGCTCTTTCTTACATAGTCCCGAATAAAGTGGCAAAATGAGTGAAATGAAAATATAATCAAGCATGTTAATATATCTCTTGCTCTTTCACACATACACCCACACACAAATATCCAGTCACACACATACACCCACACTGCCTGAGTGTTCATCTTCTGTTCCTTCCTTCTGGCTTATGGGAGACTAAAATAGTGATGTGGTGGTTTCCACTGTTCATGTTACAACATCACTGTGTTGGTCACATAAAATGCTTCATGGACAAGAAAGTATTCTCAAGATGGGTGGATGAGAAAACTAATCGCTCCATGATAATTTCAAGAGGTTCTGGTCTTTGAATCCTGCTGAAAAAATAAGTACATTAAAGGGCAAACAAACATCTGGAACAAGTATCATCTGACTGTGACAGAACGTTCCCATTAACTGTGTCCTCTACAGGCTAATTGTTCAAGTTATTCAAGCCTCCTAACTCTCACTAATTCTGTATAATGTTTTGTTTCATAAGAAATTGTCCATGTTTATTCATTTCCTTATCTAACTCATTTGCACTTGCAAAGAATAAACAGGAATGGTTGCATAATACCCATAAGAGAATTAATTCCTTTTATACAGGATCTAATTCATACAGGAAAAAAAGGGATATGTGGGATTTTGGGTTGGTTTGGGTTTTTTTCTCCTCTGTATCGTACTTTCAAAATCAGTTGCAAGAAATTGCATACACACATTGTACCTAAGCAAATTCAGCAAATAAGGAAATACTCAGTACACACATCCAAGCATGTTCTGTTGGCTGGCTACAAAACTAACTTGATACTTGCTAATGTAAAAAACTGGATATAAGGAAAAGATTTATGCAAAACTAGACATTCAAGCTGTATTAGTTTAATTGAACTAAAAAATAACAAAGATAGCATGATTTTATACACCACAGTTCCCAACCATAATGCAACATTTGCAGTTTATATAAAAACTATTTCAAAAAGCACAAAGAGATATGAATATCCAAAAATTCTTCAAATACTCAAACAACCACCACAGCATTATTTCCTTTAGTTACATAATTCTTCATCGTGACCTGGGGAACCTGTGGCCAAGGGTCCAAGTAAAGCCTACAAATTCACCCCATCTGTAACCACGTTACTTTTTTCCCACATTATTATTGATTAACACACAAGAGCACGTTAACTTGTAGCCAGTGAAGAGTGTTCAAAAGGCCTACCTCACTCTTGGCAAGAACAAGTTCTTCATCACAGAAGTAACTCTAAATATAAGCCTGTTTTTCACGGGACGGGATATCACAAAGGTATGCCAGGGATTCCGAGGAAGCCTGACATTATCTTGTCAGTTATTTAAAAGCCAAGGCTCTGAGTCTAGAACACATTTTTTGCTAATTTCAGTAATTAACTGAGTCAGCTGGGAAACACTAGGCTGGTGCTTTCCAGCACGCCAGAGTGATGGAGGAATGCAGGAAGATGCAGCTGTCGGAAGCTTCAAGCAGGCAGGTGACTCAGATCGAGAAGTGACTCCTTCGTTACCAATGGAAATGCTGGCAGATCATTCACCGTACACACCTTCAGGAAGATGCACTACTGCCAACTCAGGCGACCATAAAACATGACACTTCCTAGAACAAAACTAATTTTAGTATCTGTCCAGTGTATGCAAAACATATTCTCTTGTAACATCTATTGGGTGGGCTATTGGCTGGACCTGGGGCCGGAGCTGCAGCAGCCTCACCTCCGTCTGGCTGCTGGATCTGGTCATACTCACCTATCAACATAGACATATTTGCCACTCTTCCTATAGATGCTGGGGTTTTTCCTTAGCTTGCACTTCTAAAAATTGGAAATAACAGCAAACTTTGCATTTATTCTAGTGGATAAATCTTCCAAGCATTACCTACAGCTCATTTGTATGGAAAGGTTTATGCCACACTGCTCAGGCCTAACGGCATGCCGCTCCGTGTATCCATTTAGCTATCCAGTTACAAAACCGGCGTTTGTAGGAACAAGCTCTTGAACCAGGGCACTTGGTTTACAAAGTGCAGAAAAACTCAGCATCTGTGCAAACAGCGCGGTTTCCAGGCAATCCAGGATGGCTCCTTTAGACCGAAGCCCTTCACCGCCTGCTCACCAGTGGGACGGGAAAGGGGTTCACGCAGGCAGCAGAGAGCTGCTGAAGCGAACCCTGGGCAAACCCAGCGAACCGCGGCACTGCATCGTTTCGCCCTATTTAACGTCCTCAGCCAGCCCGGCTGTCAGCGGGGAGAGGCTGAGACAGAACACAACGCGCGATGCCCAGTGCGGCCCTTCCCCCCCTCAGCCGCCATGACGGGAACCGAGGCCCGCCGAGGGGCCGAGTCCTCCCCACAGCGCGGGGCCCGCCGCCCCGCCGGGCTTCCAAGGCAGTGACCACAGCCTGGTGATGGGACGGCGAGGGCCCGGACCCCCAAAGGCCCCCGCTGCCCGGGCCCTCCCCACCACGGCGAGGGACGATCGGCCGCCGCCCG